TTTTTAATTTTTTTTTTTTTTTTTTTTTTTTTTTTTTTTTTTTCATGCTTTATTGACTCTTTTTTCATGATTCTGAATAAACTCTTAAAAATTAAAAAAAATGAGATATAATTTTTTTTGAACAGTTAAAACATGAAATAAATAAATCGATGTAAAATAACAATTAAATATAACAATTGTATGTTATTATTTAATACCTTTTAATTTGTCAATCATCTCTTGATTTGTAGTCCCATTGCAGTGCCATGTCATCTTGCAATTATTTTTTGAATTTATCTTCTATCTGTAATTTTAAAAAAATAAAAATATAATTAGAAAAAAATGATAAATCTTGATACTGTAAAAAAATTACAGTGGAATGTTTTTTAAAAGATTTAATAGAATAAACAATTACGCGATAATATGTAAGTATGGAATTTATTTAGAATAAAATTTTACTCTTTAATTAACGTACACAATAATTTATAATTCACAATATTACATATGATATTTTTGCTTTGCATTACAATTTGATAAAACATTTGTATATTTAGAAATTACTTAGATGTAATTTATATTTAAATTTAATATCGTAAATTACTTGTGACAAAAGTTAATTCCGCAATGATAATTACTAACTTCAGTGACGTTGAAGAAATATTATTAATTTTAATTTATTATTAAATATAAATCAAATACAAATAAGATATCTTGTAAGTCTTTTAGTTTTTTTGCTCAACTATGAATAAAAAAATTTTTTTTAAATCTTTTTTTTCGTTTAATTAAATCATTATTTTAAATTTAAATTAGATGAAAAAATTTTCTTAAAATTAAATAAAAATTTGGGGGTCACTTGAACTGTAATTATTCTTAATATTGCAAGCCTCACGTGGTAAATAATGATAAGAACTACACAACCACCTCCGGAGACAGCCAATCACTATAAATTGAAATACAAAAGATGATAAGCCACAAGTTGCATCAACAGTCGAGCCTCTAACAAACTCAAGACCGACATGTACTCGGTGCTTTTTGTAATTGATCTTTGATAAATTTGCAATAAGTGACTAATTTAGTATAATTGTGAATTATATACATTGTATACTTTTTTTTATTTACATTAAAAAAAATTTGTGGTTTCATCAATGAAGTCGAAAAATTCAATGGAAGTTACTAAAGTTTTGCCTCCAGCGGAGCCAGGAAAATTTCGGCAATTTCTGGCTGCTGTTAGTGGTATGTTGTTCGAAATAAATTTAATTTATTTTAATTATTTATTAATGAATTTAATTTTTAAAAAAATTTAATTTCAATTTGTTTTTTATTATTCTGTAATATGTTTATAGTTTTTGCTATCAACATAATACTAGAGTTAACAGACGTCAGCCGATTCTGTTTAGAAATAAAGTACTTATATAATTATAAATATAAACAAAAAAATTTTCCAAAAATTTCCATGAAAATTAAAGATAAAACTTTTTTTTTAATTTTTATAATTCAAAACTAGCAACCTTGCAGTCACTATGTGACTGCCGGGACATGTGAGCTATCAATAAATAAAATTTTGCTTTATTAAATAATGACTTTAGTTAAATTGCACTGTACTTTTATAACTATTGATGTTTTTAAAGATATAAACTCATACCGATGTTACACTCATCAAGAGCTTTCATTTGAGTAGCCACATCAATTTTTCATGTATATATATATATATATATATCAAAAATGCATGTGGGTATTCTAATGAAAGCTCTTGGTGAGTGTAACATCGAGATGAGCTTATATCTTTAAAAATGTCAATAGTTAAGAAAGCACAGTTCAATTTAATAGATATCTTGTGAATTATTGGCATTTTTAAAGATATAAGCTCATCCCGATGTTACACTCATCAAGAGCTTTCATTTGAGTACCCACATGCATTTTGATATATTTTTCATACATAAAAATATATATAATATATATATAAATATATGAAAAACTGATGTGGGTACTCAAATGAAAGGTCTCGATGAGTGTAATGTCGGGGTGAGCTTATATCTTTAAAAATGTCAATAGTTCACAAGATACAAGGTCATTTCTTAATTATGTGTCTAGAGATGGAGCATTTTCGAATGCAGCCTAAATCATCATAAATTGACTATCCTGGAGAAAAAATTCTTCTTATTCTCTTAATAATATCGATTAAAAAATATATTTTTTTCAGTATTTAAAATTAAAAAATATTTTTTATTTAAAAAAAATCAATTTTTTCTTTTTTGTTCTCCCAGTTAACACTTCGATTCTGGTGTATGGAATGATGCTGGGCTGGGCATCTCCAACGATACCAGTGCTAAAAAGCCCAGAGACACCGGTTGGCCAAACGCCTTTAAACGACGACCAGGCATCATGGCTAAACAGTATAATGCTTGCAGCGGGTATTTTAGTAATCCCACTCTGTGGATGGATATCAGAAAAATACGGTCGCAAAATGACTGGCTATGTGCTGAGTATTCCTTGCGTAACTTCCTGGCTACTCACTCTGTTCGCGACTAATTACTGGTATCTTCTAATGGCAAGAGTTTTCGGAGGTTTCGGAGGGGCGATTTGTTTCTTCCTGGTACCGTTGTACGTCGCCGAGATCTCCGGAGACAGCATCAGAGGACAACTTGGCAGCTTGATGGTATTTTCAGTTAACATTGGAATTCTTCTGGGATTCATTCTGGGAGCTGTTTTGTCCTATCAACTATTCGCAATAGTTGCTTTGATAGTACCTCTGGTTTTTCTTGGCTCTTTCATATTTGTCCCAGAAACGCCAGTGTATCTAGTGCGCAAGGAACGAATCGACGACGCACTCAAGTAGGTTTTATTTAAATAAATAATTCTATTCGTACTAGGCAGACGGTAGCAATTATTCAATTCAATACTTGATAATTATTGAATCATCTTTATGTAGTTTCAAGTTTAAGTTGATTTGGCGCCAAGTGAATAATTATCGTATGATTGCTGGTCAGGTCCTTGATGTGGCTGAAAAACGACGACAAATCTGCTGCTGACCGTGAATTACTCAGACTCCAGTCACTCGTTAAAGAGACTTCTAACGTCAATCAAGCCGTCGGGCTCAGAGACTTGATCAGAGACAAAGCGACCATCAAGGGTCTTGTCATAGCTATTGCACTGCTGAGTGGACAACAGACCTGTGGGATTTCAGCTATGGTACGCTATTTCCTAAAAATTCAATTAGGCATTTGATAGTTTTTAAAATTTTTTTTGTCTGATCAATTAATTTTGAAAATTCAATTTTTAGAAGCTGTAAAAAATTGTAAATGCAATTTTTAAAAAATAATTTTCTCAAGCTATTTTATTTTTCAAGAAAAATAAAAAAATTGTCAAGTCTGTTGATTTTAGTGTCATTAATTTATAACACTGAAATTGAGAGACATTTAGATTTTTTTTGTCTAATTAATTATAGCAAAAAAATTAATTAATTTAAAAAATTTTAATTTTAGAAGCTCTAAAAAATTTAAAATGCAATTATTTAAAACTATTTGATTTTTCAAGAAAAATCAAAAATTGTCTGTTGATTTCAGTGTCATTAATTCAAGATACTGAAATTGAGAGATATTTAGAGCCAGTTTTTCAATCCAGGATGAAATTTTATCCAATGATAAAATATATCTATATATTTCATATATATAAATATACTGGCAATAATAATTTTATCCTGGATAAAATTTTATCTTGGATTGAAAAACTGGTCCTTAGATTTTTTTGTCTAATTAATTATAGCAAAAAAAAAATTAATTAATTTAAAAAATTCAATTTTTAGAAGCTCTAAAAAATTTTAAATGCAATTATTTAGAACGATTTCATTTTTCAAGAAAAATCAAAAATTTTCTCTGTTGATTTCAGTGTAATTAATTTATGATACTGAAATTGAGAGACATTTGATAGTTTTTAGATTTTTTTTATCAAATTAATTATAGCAATAAAAATTTATTCTAAAAATTGCATTTTTGGAAGCTCTAAAAAATTGTAAATGCAATTCTTTAAAAATAATTATCTAAAGCTATTTAATTTTCAAAAAATTGTCAAATCTCTACTCCTTCCACTGTCATTAATTTAATAATTATCAAATTGCAAATATAAATAATGAATAATGCAATTAAAATATTAAAATTTCAGCTGACTTATACAGCAATGATTTTTGAAATGGCTGGAAGTTCACTATCGCCAAACTCAGCAACAATCGTAGTAGGCGCAATACAATTATTCGGCTCCTGGTTATCAACAATGCTAATGGAACGGGCGGGCAGAAGACCTCTTCTTCTTATCTCCTGTATAGGAATGCTCGTTTGTCACTGGATCCTCGCTTCATTTTTGTACTTGCAGCACAAATCCTACGACGTGTCTTCATTCGGGTGGATACCGCTGCTCGCTCTTTCGGTTTATTGCGTCGTTTATTGCATAGGAATGGGTCCAGCTCCTTTCATTGTTGCCTCGGAAGTCTTCAGTCCTGATATTGCTGCTCTTGCTAGCACTGTCAATATGATTGTGCTATTTTTCAGCGCGTTTGTGGTCGTTAAAGTATTCCCACTGCTAATCGCCGTTTTAGGAATGTATGGTTGCTTTTTCTTCCTCGGGGGCTGTTGTGGGCTCACATTTTTGTTCACGTTTTTCCTTGTCCCAGAAACGAAGGGCAGAAGTGTTGAGTCTATTATTGACGAGCTTAATGGCACGCCGGGACAGTTTAATGATAAGGGGTACGTTAAAGCTGCTGTTGAGAGTGAAAAAAATGAACAGTCTTCTAATGTGTGAATGATTGCTGAGATATTTTATTTTTTAATTATCTAATTATATATAATAAATTATCTATTATTTATTTTGTATAAAAAGTTTTTCAAGTTTTAATTTAACACTACTAATTTTTATATTACTTAGGTGTAAATATTTTTAATAGACTGAAGTATTGTTACTGTATTAATATAATTTACATAGAATTTAATGATTTTATTATTTTAATAAAGTTATTGTTATTTTATTTAAAATTTATTTAAAATTATTATCACTGCAATAAAATAAATTTTTTTTTTTTTTAATACTATTAATAACCAATTATTTAGTGAATAATGAAAAAATAAATCGCATTATCTATACCCAGCTAAAACTATGATACTGAAATTATTTGATGATCAATTCTAATTTAGAAGATATTTTATTATTTTAAAAAGTTTTTTACAACAAATAAATTATCTCAAAGAAAATGAGAAAAAAAATTGACATTCTGAAAATAAAAAAATAAAAAATCCAATTTTTTAGAAATAATTTTTTGGAGCAAGTTTATTTATCAAAAAAAAAAAAAATGGTCAAACGACTAATTTTAATGTCATAAAATCATGAAAATTAATTTAGCAGATATTTTATAATTTTACGAATTTTTTTACAACAAATAAATTATGTCAAAAAAATGAGAAAAAAAATTGACATTTAAAAAATTAAAAAAATAAAAAATGGAATTTTTTAGAAATAATTTTTCGGAGCAAATTTATTTATTAAAAAAAATTTTTAAGTTGTCAAGCGACTGCTAACTTTAATGTCACAAAATTAGTAGACATCTAAAAATTATTAAATTTTTTATAACAAATTAATTATTATAAAAAAAATATTTCTAAAAATTCGCACTTATAATTTTTTAAAATTTCTACATGTCAAAGTTTTTTGCTAAATTTTTTTCACTATAATTTAATTGTTATAAAAATCTAAAAAATTATTTAAAACGTCAGAATGTAAATTTAAAAATTAGATCCTTGTTAAATTCAGTATCATCTAAAACTTACGATAAATAATTATGGTACTAAAGTTAGTCGACGTTTAAAAATTTTTCTGTTTTTTTTTCAACAATTAAATTGCAAGTAAAAAATACTGTAAAAAAATTGCACGAATAATTTTTCAAATTTTCCACATATAAAATTTTTTCTTTTAATTTTATTGTAACAATTTTTTCAATAAAAATAATTATAAACATTTTCAGATGTCAGCTAATTTAATTTTCATTAAATAATTTAATTTTTTTATTACATCTGATAATCATAATTTGTTTATTGTAATTTATTTAAAAATAAATTTTTTTAGGAGTCTGCTGTTATCAGTTTCACTTTTTTTCCCCAGGGAAAAAAGTAAAAAAAAAAAAATAAATTAATCAGGTTGATTTCTGAATTTAGACGTCAAATGTCACAACCGTGAAAATGTTTTTGTGTCATTGACCTCATTTACTATAAACAAAGATTCTCTTGAATAACATTTCCCTGGATGTTAAAAATAAACAATAAAAAAATTATAAAAATCACAAGTAAATAAACTCCAACTTATAAACAACAATAAAATTAATTTAATCAATATTTATTCATCAACTTACATGAATTGAATGATGTGTAAAATTTCCTTGATTTACTGTGTTGTGATGATATAAAAAATAAAAATATAAATCTAGCTCTGTCTAATTTATTCGAAGCGCCACTGAAAGTATGGTGGCGGACTGTAACAATTATTTAATCGAATTACCATGATGTCAGCACTGTCGGAGTACTGTAGTACTGTCAGGTGATACCCAATATTATAGCAGACCACGTGGTACAAATAGAACATTTTCATTGGTTAGCAAGTATTTTTAACCAATCACGTCACGCATTTACGAAAATTACTTGCAAGTACCATGTGATAATTTCTAAAACTCCAAGCGTTGTTTTCCGTTCAAGTTCAAACTTGTAGCAGTAACGGCCACCGGCACTATTGTTGTATTTAGTATTTACTAGTATACACTGTTGATCACGCTTAAATTAAAATAAGTATTTTATATTTATTAGTGCCATATTTTTTTTATCAGTGTTTTGTTAAAAGTCTACAGTGGTCTGTTGATTATTTGTGGATTAATAATATATATTTTGTTAAATATATACATAAATTATTTATCAGCATCCAGGTTGGTTACTTTATCACTAATCACAATTTCAATTTTTTTTTCTTTACTAATTATTATTTTTATTTAATTTATAAATGTATTTCATTTGTTTATTATTTTTTAGTTCTAAGTAAATTGGTGTTTATTTACTCTAACCTTACTTTTAGTGACATTTAAGTTCATAATTAAATTTATTGGTTACCTACACCAAAATTCCTGAAGAAAATATTTTTAACAAAAGTTTTTTCAAGATGAATGAATCAGTAAATTATTTAAAAAATATATAATAATTAAGTTAGCCGACATTTAAAAATTTTTAGAATTTTTTTATATTCAAGAAATTATATGAGAATTAATTTAGCATATATTTAATAATTTTAAAAATTCTATAACAAATAAATGATGGCAAAAAAAAAATTGACATGTGAAAATAAAATAAAATTAAAAAATTGTTAAGTGACTGCTAACTTTAAGGTCATAGAAATTATTATAAAAAAAATAAAAATTTCATTTGTAAAAAACTTTAAAAACTGTAAGTGCAATTTTTAATAAATATTTTTTTGTTCTAATTTAATTAATGAAAAAAAATCAAAAAATTAAAAACGTCGGCTAACTTTAGTGTTATGTTAAAAATTAATTTAGCATATATTTAATTATTTTAAAAATTTTATAACAAATAAATTATGGCATAAAAAATTGGCATTTAGAAATTTTAAAAAAATTACAAATGCAATTTTTTTTAAATAATTTTTTTGTTGAATAAAATTAAAAACTTGTAAAGTGACTGCCAATTTTAACGTCATAAAAAATATCATTATTATTAAAAACTTTATATAATCCTAAAATTAGCAGATACAATAATTCTTTGATTTTTCTTTAAAAATAAATAAGCCTAAAAAATTATTAAACAAAAATTGCATTTATACTTTTTGTGATCTTCTAAATACAGAATTTTTTAATTAAATTTTTTTTTGCTCTAATTTATATTGGTAAAAAACAATTTTTAAATTATTAAATGTCTTTTAATTAAAACTTGAATAAAAAAAATCATAAAAATAAAGTGAGCCGACATCTAAGAATTTTTATAATTTTTTTTATTAAAAAAAATTTCTTTTTTAAAATTTCATTTGTAAGAAATTTAAAAAACTAAGTGCAATTGAAAAAAAATATTTTTTAGTTCTAATTAAATAAATTAAGCAAAGTAAAAAAATCAAAAATGTCGGCTAATTTTATGATAAAAAAAAAAAAATAATTTCCTAAATAAAATTCCTGACAGTGCAATAACTAATAATAACAATACTTTCAGATGGAGTCACGTTTACCGAAGCCTAAATTTGGTATAAAAAAGCCAGTAAATGGTACAAGCGCTGGTGGAAGTTCAAACAGTTCCTTACAAGTACCAAAAACGACAACATCAACGACTCTCTTAAAAGATATAGGTAAATCAAAAACAATAATCACAGATGATCCACCAAAAGTACCCAGAAAGGAGAACAAGCCTCCAATATCCCAGCCACCACTGGCTCGTGCGAAAACAATGGCCTCGATGGTGCGTAAGAACCCGCCCCAAGAACCACCGACCACCCGAGCAGCTGTAAAAAGACCCGGAGCTGCAACGAACCCGATTCCTTCCAAGCGGCCCACAATCAGACCTCTCCCTAAGACTGTTCCCAGCTCAACCAACACCACCCTCAAACCATCAAAAACAGCCGCAAAAGTTGCACCCGCCAAGTCTGTCAGCAAGTGGGACTGGAAGGGAAGGTTCGAGCTGGTGAACACCGAACTAACCACTCTAAAAAGCAAAACCAAGGAACTTACTGATCAGCGCGACGAGCTGCAGGGAATTGTCGATGAGTTTCAAGAAAAAGAGGACACCAGCTCTCAAAAAATCGTGGATCTTGAAGCAGCTAACTCGCAATTGAGTGAAGAGCTGACAGTGGTGAAGAAGGACATGAAGGAGATAACTGCGCGTAATGAAGAAATAGAAACCGAGCTGAAGGAAGCCATAGAGTCTTTGGACAAAGCAAATGCCTCGTTAAAAGAGTTCCGGGACCTTTGTAAAAAACAGGGCAAGACTATTGAAGAAAACGCTGATCAGATAAAAGACCTTGAGACTACTCTGAGCTCTAAAACTAAAACTGTTGACGAACTCACGGAGCGTGTCAAAGATTTGCAGAATTTATGCCATGAAATGGACAAAGACCGGCGAGTTCTTCACAATACTATCCAAGAAATGAAAGGTAACATCCGCGTTTTTTGTAGAGTGCGTCCGAGGATTGCTAAAGAGTCTGCTAAGACACTCTGTGCGATAAATTACATTGATGAGAGCACTCTAGAAATTGGACGAGCAGACGGCTCTGATTCGCTGAGCTGCAGCGGGAAAATTCGCGGCGGCAAGCAGGAGTTCTCCTTCGACAAAGTCTTTCCTCCCACAGCTTCTCAAGCGACTGTCTTCGAGGAGCTGTCAATGCTGGTCCAATCAGCGCTCGAGGGATACAATGTCTGTGTGTTTGCTTACGGGCAGACTGGCTCTGGTAAAACTTACACGATGGAAGGCTCCAATAACCGCGAGCTAGAGGGGATGATCCCCAGGACGGTCAGGCTTATTTTTGACCAGATGAAGGAATTTGAGTTACTTGGCTGGGAGTATAAAATAGAGGCGAGTTTCTTGGAGATCTACAACGAGCACATTGTTGATCTTTTAGATTTTAATGAGAAGACTCATGATATTCGTATGGTAGATTCCAAAGGCCAGGATTTGTATGTCACTAACTTGCAAGTCGAGGAGATCCACAGTCCTGAAGAGCTGCACCAATGTTTAAGGATTGCGCAGCAGAATCGCGCAGTGGCTGCTACTAAGTCTAATGAAAGGTCTTCAAGGTCTCACTCTGTGGCGAGGATCAGGTTGATTGGGACTCATGTGGAAAAAGAAGAGATGTGCATCGGGAATCTTAATTTAGTTGATTTAGCGGGGTCGGAAAGACTCAAGGGAGAAGAGGCTGCTAGAACTGCTGAGACTAAGAATATTAATAAGTCTTTGGCTAATTTGGGAAATGTTATTCTTGCGCTGTCGAAGAAACAGGATCATATTCCGTATAGGAATTCTAAGCTCACGCATTTACTTATGCCGTCTCTTGGTGGTAATTCTAAGACGCTTATGTTGCTTAATATTTCACCGCTGGATGATTGTTATAATGAAACTCTCAATTCACTGAGATTCGCGAGTAATGTTAACAATTGCAAGCTGGGTAATGTCAAGCGGACCAAAACTATGCTCCAGAATCCTAATTCGAGTAATAATACTTCTCAAATTTAGTTGTTGTTGATATTGAGATTAAGGGGGGAAAGTAGAAGGCCGTTTTCAGGATGATTTTTATTAATTTTTTTAAGGTATGATAATTAATATTTATTGAAACTATCAGGTTATTTTATAGATTATTTATAAGTATTTTTGAGTGTTAAACAACAGTAACTTAACAAATAGCGGAGATAGCTGATACACATCGTAGGTTGTCATCCGATTTAGCAGTTGGTGTGCAGTATGCAAGCCACAATTTTTATCTGAAATCACTCGGCACAGAAAAATTACTTTTTTTATAAGTGTATCTTCTCTATGAACCCCAATTCAAAATAAAAAAAAAAAAAGTAAAAATTTGCATTTTTTAGAGGGCTGTGAAATTAATTAATTCGTGATTTTTTACCATTTTTTCCATACATTGTTTATTAAAAAAAAATAGTTTAAATAAAAATATCGCTTATGATGGAGGTTCATATTCAGCGTAATTGTATAAAGAAAAGTAATTTTTCTGTGCCATTGATTTCAGATAAAAATTGTGGCTTCCATAGTGCACACCAATTGCTAAGTCGGAAGACAACCTACGATGTGTATCAGCTGATATCTCCGCTACTTTTTAAGTTATATTGTCGTAAAATATGGAAAAATATAAATTGTGTATAAAATAATCTGATAGTTTCAATAAATAACATTAATTTTGATACTCTAAAAAAATTAATAAAAAATCAGCATGAAAACGTTTTTCTACACGTATTTCCTACCTTATATTGGATTTAATTATACATTTTTTAAACTTTATTTTTAAAATCTCATTCTAGATTGAAGTTTTTCAATGAGACTGAGGGCGTGACCGAAATAAATATAACAGCAATTTAGTTAAGAACTATTTTTTTAATCTACTGTGCATATTTTTTTTAATTAATGACAATTTATATGGTTTATTCTTAAATTAAAGTATTATGGCTTAGAATTAGTGCCTAAAGGCATTGAACAAACTATTTTTAATTTAATTTTCGTTTTTATGTCGGTCTAAAAAAATACTTTATAAATTAAATAAGTACTGCATTTTTGTATCAGTCTATTTTCTATAAAGCAGTACAATATTTTTTTTAGTTAGTAAGTTAAAAAATTTTATACATAAATATGTAATCAAAATAGTAAAGAACAAATTAATGTATAATGATTAGTATGTAATAAAATTTATAAATTTAATATTGGATCAAATGGATTTGTCTCATTTAATTTTAGTAAAAATTTTTTAAATGCAGGTGAAGAACTAATGAACTTATTATTTAAACGATCATTTTTTAATTTATTTTTTGATGGTCTTCTACTGTTATTTTTTAATCTCAAAATAGATTTTTTGTATTTTATTCTATTGGGCCTGTCTAATTTAGTGTCTGTCGATTTATCGAATGTAACAGGTTGTTTTTTTTCGTAATTTATAAATTTACTGATTTCTAAATCATAAGTCTCAACAAATGATTTTTTATCACAATAACAGATTTTTTTTTCATCAAATTTATTTAAATGGTAAATACTTGTATCAACTTCTTTTACTTGGTTTATTACTTCAACTTTTTTTAAATAATTATCCGTATTTTTTATGTACGTAATTTCGCTGGAATTATCGAGTATTTTTAATTGCCAGTACAGATCTGGGTCTATTATTAATTGTTTAAATTCTAAATTTTTTATATCAAATTTTCCATCGCTGTGTAAATTTTTTTCAACTTGTTGACATTGATTTTCAAATAATTTAATGGATAATTCATTTTCGTTGGAATCATTTAAATTTAATTTTGAATCATCGCAGTATTGTCTGTAATTAAAATATTGATTAAATTTATGACACTTAATTTAACAGACATTTAATAATTTTTTAGATTTTTATAATTAAAAAAAATTTTACATGTAATAATTTAAAAAAAAATTAAAAGTAGAGATTTTTCAGATATATTTTTTTTTTAAATACTATGTGACTGCCGAGAATTGCGAACTATAATGCATAAAATTTTGCTTAACTGTATAATGACTTTTGTTAAAATCTACTGTACTTTTTAAATTATTGACATTTTTTAAAATATAATCTCATCCCAATGTTATACTCATCAAGAGCTTTCATTTGAGTACCCACATGCATTTTTGATATATTTTTCATTTATACATATATATATAATATACATAAATATATAAAATATATGAAAAATTGATGTGGGTACTCAAATGAAAGGTCTTGATGAGTGTAACATCGGGATGAGCTTATCTCTTTAAAAATGTCAATAGATACACGGTCATTTTCGTAATAATGCATCTAGAGAAAGAGCATTTTCGAATGCAGCCTAAATACTTGTCATAATAAATCAACTATTGATGATAATGATATAAAACCTTGAAAAGGCACAAATTCAAGTTAAGACCTTTGCAATGACACTAAATTTTACTTAAAAAAACAGATTTTATCCTGTGACTATCCTGGAGACAAAATTTTTCTTATTCAGTTAATAATATAGACTATAAAAATTGTCAAATGTCTGCCAATTTCAGTATAATTTAATGAAATTAAAAATTTTCAATATTAAAAAACTTACGTCCAATTTTCGCGAGTATTTTTCCATTTTTTTTTCAATTTTTTTTCCATGCAAATAAATATTCCAATAAAAAGCGCAAATATATAAGTATCTGTTGAAGTTGAAACATTACTAGCTGCATGACAGATACTTGAGTAAAACGCCGAAAACCATTTTGAAGATTTATTTTTTTCATTCGACAAATTAAAATGAATTGTTTCAGGAATACTTTGCGGTACTCTTGTAATTTTACCTTCCTTTGACGAAGCCGGTGATCGTAAAAGAATTTTATCTGTTATACAAAGAAGAATCCAAAGTCCTAAACTAAATGTCAAGAGTATTTTCCACTGGATGTAATTATTCCACTCCAATTGCAATAATTTTTCGTGTAATTTTTTTCTTGCAATACTTAATTTTTTTTCATTAACTCTTGATAATTTATTAAAGTTTTTTATTGACAGTTTTCGGGATATGTGTTGCAGTTTTTGATAGCTGATATCTTCATTATTGACACACGAAGAGTAATTTGACTGAGAGGACAATGAGGAAGATGAGGAATGGAGTTGCGACACTTTCATCAGTGTTTTTATCACGTTATTCGGAGGTAAAATTCTCTCCTTGGGGTTTCCATTGTCCATTTCATTTGTAAATCATCTTTGTAATTTTTAACCATCAAAATTTATCAGCTATGAAGTTATCAAAATATCTTACTGTTTATATCTTCAAGTTTATTTTTAAATCATCAAAATTAAGTTAGTTGACATCTCAAAATTTTTATTATATTTTTTATTGAAAAAATATTAAATAAAAATTAATTTTTGTAACAAACAAATTTTATTTGAACAAATAATGAAAATTAATTTAGTAGATATTTAATAATTTTAATAAATAAAATAATTGCAAAAAAAAAAATGACATGTAAAAATTTTAATAATTATAAAATGAAATTTTTTAAAAATAATTTTTCTGAACAAATTTATTTATTGAAAAAAATTCTAAAATGGTGAAGTGACTGCTAATTTTAATGTCATTAATTACTACTAAAAAATGATACTGAAATCAGCTGACATGTGAAATTTTTTTCTATTTTTATAAAAAAAAAATACATTGTTTAAAATTCGCACTTATAATTTTTTTATTAAAATTAATTCAACAGATATTTGATAATTTTTTTAATAATAATCAAGTTAGCCGACATTTTTTATTTTGCTTAAGTTATTAAATTATAACTAAAAAATATTTTTAAAAAATTGCACTTATAGTTTTTGAAGTTTTTAACAAATGAAAAATTTTTTTGTAATAATTCTTTAATAAAACAAATCATAAAAATTTTTAGATGTCGGCTAACTTTATTTTCATTTTTTTTTAATAAAAAATAAATGATGGCAAAAAAAAGATAAAAATTGCAATTTTTTAACAATAATTTTTTTGTTATAAATTAAAAAAAAAATTGTAAAGTGTCTGCTAACTTTAATGTCAAAAATTATAATAAATAAATTAAAAAAAAAAAAAAATTTTATTTGTAAAAAACTAAAATTTTTGAAAAATATTTTTTTGTTTTAATTTAATAAATGAAAAAAAAAAAATTAAAAACGTCGTCTCACTTTAGGACAATTTTAATAATTTACTTTTATTAACATTTTTGTTATTAAAATTATTCAAAGGATAATTTTAAATAATAATAAAGTTAGCCGACATTTTTAATTTTTTGATTTTGTTTCATTTATTAAATTTAAACTAAAAAATGTTTTTTTAAAATTGCACTTACAGTTTTTTAAAATTTCTACGTGTCAAATTTTTTTTTTTAATTGTTTGTAATAATTTTTTTCAATAAAAAAAATTATAAGATGTCAAGCTAATTTAACTTTCATTAATTTTCATTAGTGGAAAAATGATCTTACCGACTGAAGTTACATGTCTGGAGTTTCCACTCATAAAAATGAACCTTAAGACAACTAAAACCGTTTTTCATCTAACACAAACATAAAATGTGATAAATTACATAATTAATATACTTTATTGACGATAAAATAATTTTTTATTAATACTTACATAAATATTATTCTTTTAAATGGAATATTTAAAGAAATAAAAAATAAATTTGTCTAGTGTAGTTGCATGTTTGCGGGAAAAGTGACAGATTCCCGCGTTCACGCGAAACTCAATGTTGTTAAAAAGTTATAAATATATAAAAGACATTTTAATAATCGTTAATTAAAATTTTTATGTAACAAATAATAATGAAGAATATTGTTAAGAAATTGGAGCAGCGATACACTGGTTTTGGTGAGTAATAACACTGTTGTTATAATTTAGTAACCCTTGAACATTATTACCAGAAGTTTTTGAGGTTATAATCCGGACTTGATTTTACAATTTATTATTCAACAAATATTTATTTCACTAATTTAATACTAAACAATAGTATTTTATTATTTATTTATCTGTAAATTATTGATGTAAAATATTTATTGACAAGTTGTCATTTATAATAATAAAATAAAAAAAAAAAAACATTTTAATAATTATTGATATTCTTTCAGGTACAAATTTAGACCATGACATCGCTATCAGACGTTTAATATGTTATTACTGTGATGTTTATCGTGGTGTCTCGGTAAATCCTGACAGTCACCAAGATTTAACGCGAGACCCGTTCATATTTGCTTGCAAATTTTCTACAAGCGCTGGGTGGGAAGACACACTGGCTTTGGCCTCTGAAGATGGCAGAATTGCGTTACAGGACACTACTGTTAAATCAGAGGAACCTCACTTGTCAATGGAAGGCACTACTGTGAGTATTTATTAAATTTTTATTTAACAATTATTTATTCTATTTATTTAATAATCAACATTTATCCCAAGACTCCATAGGCCAAATGGCAAGCTAAAAAATACATAAACATCGTATATTCACATTTTTAATAACATTGTTTAATATGTGGGTGATTCTCTGTAAGGACGTCTTAAATCTGTACAAAATTGTCCGACCAAATTATTTTTGATTTTATTAGAAAAAAAAATTAACAAGAGCTACAAAACTATCAGCTTAATTATAATAAATAAACAGCCGAATTAATTTTTACTTTTTCGATATTTGTGTATCTGTTGCCATATAACATGACAGGGGACTGATTTTTTTTTATTTAATTGAGAAAAATCAAGCAAACTATTTCAATGCATTCAACTTTTCAAGTTCTCAATGAATGTTTACATTAATTAGAATAATATTAAGACTTATGGATCAAATTTTATAAATAAATTATAAATAAAAATAGTTGTCAGGGGACTGAGTTTTGAAGTGGCCCAGACACATATTTCCAGCACAAACGTTGCTTCGACACTAAATAAAATGGCGATAAAGCGCTAACAGCCCTATGGTTATTAACTTAAGGCTAGTTAGATCCTTATAAACCTTACAAGAGGTAAAATAACACGCTGGACTTTTTTTTGGCTTTGAACTTCTGGCAGGGGACTGTTCTTAAAATGCCTGGAACAAACTTTGGTTTAATGAATTTAATGAAACAAATTAACTTTCGGTACTTTTTATTGAAGAAGATTGTTAGTTAACTAATTAAGTTTATAAACATTATGGACCAAATTATATATTAAGGACGAATAACTTAAAATTTAATGTTAAAGTTTTAATTTTGGGACTGGGACAGCCCAGGGGACTGACATTTCGGTGGTTTACGAATTTATAGCAAAAAAACCAAAATTTATTCCATTTTAATTTTCAATGCTCCAAATAGAAATATTTTTTTACTTTCGTAATAAATTTTTTTTAGTAACAAAATAACAATTTTTCTAATAAAAAAATGCCTGGGACAGCAAAAAACATCCTTACAGAGAATCACCCATGTAAATTTACATTAATAGAATTTATAGAATTTAAGATGCATAATATTCAATTTTTATTTATTAGAGTCGTTTTTAATGAAAGCTTAGAAAGAGAAAAGAAATAAAGGTAATCTCAAGACAAAAATCAACTGACTGTTTTTCTTCAGTCTCGTGTGACATAAAAAAGTCAAATACTTTACTTTTAAAAATATTTAAACTCTGAGAATTTATAATATCCTGCGGCAGTTCTGTTCTTAGTCAATTAAAATTCTCATGATACAATTAGCAGACGTTTAAAAATTTTTTTCATCGATTAAATTAAAATAAAAAAAAATATTATTAAAAAATTCCACGCATTGTTTTTTAACTTATTTAATGTAAAAGACCCAGTTATTGACACTGAACTAGTTATTGACACTTGCAATTTTATTTTAATTAAATAAAACAAATCAACTCTAATAAATTAATAAATATCATTTTTGAATTATCAATTTTTAGAGAATTGATTTTTTGAGAACATTTAATTTATTTAATTAGAATAAAATTGTAATAAGTGTTCAATCAACTACTTGTGAAATAAAAAAAAAAATTTTTTTTGCTATAAATTTCTTGATAAAAGAAATTCTAGAAATTTTCAGATTTTTGCTAACTTAAGTTTTAAAAAAAAAAAAAAAAAACATATTTTTACTTAAAAATATTTTATAAAAAAAGTAACTTTTTGTTTCTTTATAAAAATTTTTTATTGGTATTTATTGTATGTAACAGAATACAGAATTCTCGTAGCCATTGGGACGAGAACAAGTTGATATACAATATAAAAATATATTTATAAAAATTTTAATGAATTTAATTTTTATTTTTAATAAATTGTAATAAAAATTTATTTAGTTAAAAAAAATCTTAAAAAAGAATTAACATCTGTTTGATAACTTCCAGTTATATAATAAAAATAAATACCAACATAAAAATATTTTTTCAGGCGCACTACAACGCTATATTTGACATAAACTGGATGCCAGGTGAAATGAAACTCATAACAGCCTCAGGAGACCACTCAATAAAATTATGGGATTTAGACGAGGAGAAAATCACATTAGTAAATACTTTTAATTGTCATGACCGCTGCGTTAAAACAGCCGTATTCCGGCCCGAAGACAAGTCAGTGTTCGTATCTGGAGCACGAGACGGTAATATATTTCTCTGGGACATTCGCGCAAAGCACCCGCACGACCACCCGAAACCCGACAGTGGAATTTATAACGCCCACGGTACTGCCAAAGTACTGACAAGCCATAACAACAGTAGACCACGGTGTCGTAGACGGTCGCTGATAAGCGGTGAAAGAGCGCAAAGTATCACAGGACTAGTCTTCCAAGATGACGATACTCTGATATCGTGCGGAGCCGGTGACGGTGTTATAAAGGTCTGGGACATGAGGAAGCACTACACGATACACAAAAAGGAGCCACTTCCTAAACACACCTTCAAATACAAAGGCAATAGTACGCAGTATGGTTTCACATCCCTGGCAATTTGTCCGTCAAGACTGATTTTATACGTAAATTGTAGAGATAATGTTATTTATTCATACAATTTATCGTCCTATAACCAAAACCCAATAGCCGAGTACTACGGGCACCGAAATGAGTCGTATTATGTTAAAAGCTGCCTCAGTCCGGATGGCAAGTATCTCTTGAGTGGTTCGACGGATGAGTTCGCGTATATTTGGAAGACAAGCAAGCCTGGTGGGCCTATATTCAAATTATGTGGCCATACTGAAGAAGTCACTTCAGTTGCTTGGAAGCCCTACGGTGAGCCGGTGATCGCTACAGCTTGTGATGATGGCTATCACCGGATTTGGAGAGTTGGTTTGGAGGAAAAAGGCGAGAATGACGAGATTGAAGTACAAGGACGTGCTGAACCGATTACTTTTACTATGCATCCTCAGCAATCTAAGCTTGAATCAACGCCGACGTTTTCAGGGCTCAGAAAATCACATCTTTTTTGTTCACCTGATTCTGATGTTGCTTACAGTACGTATTTTTTTTTTTAATTTAATTGGTTAAAATATTGACGTTTTTAAAGATAGAATCTCATCCCGATGTTATACTCGTTAAGAGCTTTGATTTGAGTACCCACATGCCTTTTTGATACATTTTTCATATATACATATATATAATATATAAAATATATGAAAAATTGATGTGGGTACTCAAATGAAAGGTCTCGATGAGTGTAATGTCGGGGTGAGCTTATATCTTTAAAAATGTCAAAAGTGGACAAAATACCAGGTAATTTCTTAATTATTGATATTTTTAAAAATATAAGCTCATCCCGATGTCACACTCATCAAGAGCTTTCATTTGAGTACCCACATGCATTTTGATATATTTTTCATATATACATATATATAATATATATTTTGAAAATATAAGCTCATCCCGATGTTACACTCATCAAGAGCTTTTATTTAAGTACCCACATGCATTTTTTATATATTTTTCATATATACATATATATAATATATATTTTGAAAATATAAGCTCATCCCGATGTTACACTCATGAAGAGCTTTCATTTGAGTACCCACATGCATTTTTGATATATTTTTCATATATACATATATATAATATATATTTTGAAAATATAAGCTCATCCCGATGTTACACTCATCAAGAGCTTTTATTTAAGTACCCACATGCATTTTTGATATATTTTTCATATATACATATATATATAATAAACATAAATATATAAAATATATGAAAAATTGATGTGGGTACTCAAATGAAAGGTCTCGATGAGTGTAACAACGGGATGAGATTATATCTTTCAAAATGTCAATATTTCACAAGTTAAAAGGCCATTTCTTAATAATGTGTCTAGAGATAGAGCATTTTCGAATGCAGCCTAAATACTAATCATAATAAATTAACTATTGATGAGAATGATATAAAATTTAGAAAAGGCACAAATTCAAGTCAATACCTTTACAATGACACTAAATTTCTCTAAAAAAACCGATTTTATCATATGACTATTCTAGAGACAAAATTTTTCTTATTCTCTTAATAATGTTAATTAATTAATTTTGTTATTGTTTAAAATATAGACAAATATTTTTTATTTTTTTTATAATTGCCTAAAAATGTTAATAAATTTTTTTTTTAATTTATTAGGAAGTGATACCGATCACAGTACCGTCGAATCACCGGACGTAGCGACACCCGGAAGTTCTGCCAAACGAAAATACTCACAAATGTCCACGGAAAACAGCAAGTTCAAGACAATCCTATCACCGATACGAGAGAATGAGCAGCCGTCCAAGCGAGCACACTTCGAAAACAGAGGCGCAAGGAGACTATTTAGCCCGACAAATTCTCAAGACGTGGCTGGTCCGAAAAATAAATGCTTTGAGCCCCAACCGGGTACGTCGACTTCGCCAGATAGGCCGATTTTGTTCTCGCCGACGATGAACTTGCCGAACTTCGCGATCGACGGAACCGCGCCACATCTCATACACAGGTCGCCGATAAAAAGCAAAGAGAACGTCGACTGGCTGACAAAAATACGCTACGAAAGATTCTTGTCGCAGATTGAAAACAATCCTGGTAATACCAACTCCAGTAGTGTAAATAGTAGTAATAATAGTATTAATAGTAATAATAGTAATAATAATGCTGTTAATAATAGTAATAATAATAATAATAATAATAATAATAATAATAATAATAATAATAGTCAAGAAACAACGCCGGGAAGAAAAAAAGCTCGATCGAGATCGAGGTCTACAGAAACGAGAATCAAAAGTCCCGCGGTTTCATTGCTTAAATTTTTTAAACGAGAATCTTCCACCGAGAAAGATACTGAACGATAATCAAAAGTAATTTTAATAAATTATAATGATAAATATTGTTAATTATTGACTTAAAGTTTAAGGGATAAATGTGACGTTTTTGTTATCGTTTTTAATGGTGTTCTTCGTCTTCGGTGTTCAATTATTAGATAAGTATTCTTTTCACTTAAGTCGATTGTCTAAATTATAATTGAAATTCGTCGTTATTTTATAGAATATAATAGAGTAAGTATTGATACGTTGCCATGTGTAATTGCAAGTGAAAACTGTCCTGATAATTAGTTAGTTTAAGGGGGGAAATACTTGTAGAAAAACCTTTTCATGATGATTTTTTATTAATTTTTTTAAGGTATGAAAATTAATGTTATTTATTGAAATTATCAGATTATTTTATACACAATTTATATTTTTACATACTTTACGACAGTATAACTTAAAAAGTCGCGGAGATATCAGCTGATACATATCGTAGGTTGTCTTCCGACTTAGCAGTTGGTGTGCACTATGGAAGCCACAATTTTTATCTGAAATCACTCGACACAGAAAAATTACTTTTCTTTATACAATTACGCTGAATATGAACCTCCATCATAAGCGATATTTTTTTTTAATAAACAATGTATGAAAAAATGGTAAAGAATCACGAATTAATTTCACAGACTTCTAAAAAATGCAAATTTTTACTTTTTTTTTGGAATTGGGGTTTATATAGAAGATACACATAAAAAAAGTAATTTTTCTGTGCCGAGTGATTTCAGATTAAAATTGTAGCTTGCATACTGCACACCAACTGCTAAGTCGGATGACAACCTACGATGTGTATCAGCTATCTCCGCTATTTAATAAGTTACCGTTGTTTAAAACTCAAAAATACTCATAAATAATCTATAAAATAACCTGATAGTTTTAATAAATATTAATTTTTTACACCTAAAAAAAATTAATGAAAATCGGCATGAAAACGACCTTCTACACGTATTTTCCCCTTTGAGTTTTTATGAAATATAAGTAAAAAAAATCCGTAATCGATAAATTGTAAGACTTTTAATTTTAAAATTTGCATTTAAAGATCAATATTATTTATAAGATTTCTGATAGTACAAGTTATTTGATATGATATATTAAGTTTTTTTTCTTTTCTTTTTTTTTAGCAACGGATGAAAAGATCTAATATTTTATATTAAATTTAATGATTTTAAACGATTGTTATAATGTATTATATCACATCTGAACAATAAGTAATACACAAAGTATTAAATATAAGGTCTAATCATATAATCGCAAGTTGAATTATAAATTATTTTTTATAAAACTTTTTATACTTTCCATAATAAAATATTAAAAAAAAAAATTACCTTGGATCTATATTTTATCATTATTTGTCTTATTATTAATAAACATAATTAAAATCCAAATAATTTATATAGACATTTTAGATTAAAAGAACGATCGTTAATATTTTTGATTTTGGGATTTTATTTTCGTGTTTTACATAAAGGGGTCTTCTTTTAATGTAAAGTTCTTTATTACACACATATATATTAATAGTAAGTGTGTTAAATCGAGTTACGATCGTAAAATCGACTCATTCGTGTTAGTAATTTCGGCGAGACGCTATTCCGATTGGCACCTTCCCAGCTATTAATGTCAAATAAGTTTTTCACTTTCTTTTATTTTGGAGATCGCTAAATTTTTTATATATGTTTAATACGAATACCACAACAGGTCTAATCGTAAAAAAATAAAAATAAGTGGACCTTGGCTTGCTTTTTTTTTCATTTTCCTTATTTTTGCCACAGAGGTAAAGGAACTGCGATAAAATGGTATTTTTGAGTCTTAAAAACTAAATAACGCGGTGACAAAAATTTTAATAAAAAAAAAATTTTTGTATTGCTCAAATTAAGAGCGACTATTAATTTTAATTACAGGGCAATAATTTTTTATGCCAGGCATTTAAATTTTCCGAGATAAATTAACGGCAATTATTCCAGCCATAAGATGACAATCTTGGAGGTCTACTACTGTTTTACACGCGTTTATTCAACTTCTGTCTGCTGGAAGTTCAGAAGCTGTGTAAAGTTTTATTGATTAATTAATTATTTATAAATACTAATTTATTACTGTAGTTGGATATTGCTGGAGACGCGCCGATTCGATAGCTGTGAATATACTAAAAAGGGGTCATTTAGCCACACCAGATGTAAATAAGTAAATTTTTCTGGGCAAATATAAAAAAAAATGAATTTATAATTTTATAGAAAAATTTATTCTGAGATAAAGTTCCAAAGTTAATTTTTTGAAATTTTTTTTTACTTTCTAAGCCACAAAAAAATTGAAAAAAAGGAATAATTAATTAGCTTAAATTAAAGATAAATTTTAGATATTTTTTACAAAAGTTTTTTAAAAAGTTATTCCAAAATTTACTAAATAAAAATTTGTATAAATTTTTGAGCCAAAATTTTTCGATGTAATTTAATAAAATAAAACAGACTAGCAACCTTGCAGTCACCATGTGACTGCTGTGACTTGTGAACTATAAATGAATAAAATTTTGCTTTATTAAATTAAATAATGACTTCTTTTAAATTGCACTGTATTTTCTTAAATATTGACGTTTTTAAAGATATAAGCTCATCCTGATGTTACACTCATCAAGAGCTTTCATTTGAGTACCCACATGCATTTTTGATATATTTTTCATATATATGTATATATAATATATATTTTAAAGATATAAGCTCATCTCGATGTTACACTCATCAAGAACTTTCATTTGAGTACCCACATGCATTTTGATATATTTTTCATATATACATATATATAAATATACAAAATATATGAAAAATTGATATGGGTACTCAAATGAAAGGTCTT